GGGCACTGAAGTGGCCACCTTATTCTCAGGGGGGCCATGCCCCACCCCGCTGGCGCCCCTGCTCAGCAGGAACCTCAGAGACCCTGTGGACCTGCAGAAGACCTGAACCTCTGCTCCTGTCCTACAGGTGAACATGGAGGGTCCACAGGGAACCAGCGAGGTCCTCCAGCTGCTGCAGGACTACTGCACCAAGAGGTCCAGGCAGAACTGGAGCAGAACCACAGAACAGACAGTGTTGAAGTTCTTGGGAGCCTCCGGTCTGGAATCTGACTCATCAAGTCCTCCACCTCCTCCAGTAGTTTTACAAATTAAAAATATACCTGTGGCAGTGTCGGAGGTGTTGAGGAAAAAACAGACCCCCAGTCTGGATGAGGATTTCTCAGGACTTCCTGTGTTTGAAGGAGGTGAGAAATGTTCTCCTGATCAGGACCGGTTCTCCTGATCAGGACCAGTTCAGTCTGTAACGAGGTTTCTGATTGGTCCACAGTTCAGAGTCCCGCCCCCCCTCAGCGTGGCGTGGCGGAGCGGCTGGTGGAGATCACCGAGTCGGCGCAGATCAGGAAGGAGGACGTTCAGACGCAGGAAGGTGAGCAGAAGTTCTTTCAAAATAAAAGAAAGGTAGTTCTGGAAGGTCCACCAATCAGCTGGTTGGAGGATCCTCCAGAACCACGTCAGCCTTTCTGTCTGTTGGGTCCACGCGTGGACGCAGCAGGTTCTGACCCGTGTTCTGTGTTCCTGCAGAGCTCATCCAGAAGCTGGTTCAGCTCATCGTAGCGTTTGGAGACGACATCAATTCAAAGGTGGGTTCTGATTCTGGATCTGCAGAACGGGTCAGAACTCTCCGTTAATCCCCTCGTCTGTTCCTGCTCAGCTCAAACAGAACCCGGTCCTGGAGCAGCAGCTCCAGAACCTGAGCTACGGCACGTTCGAGAAGCTGATGTCCACGGTGCAGAGCCTGGTGGTGCCGGTGAGCCGGGCCGCAGGTCCGGACGGTCGGGTCGAGCAGCAGAAGATCGCCTGGGCCTTCGAGGTGACCAGCAGACTGTCGGCTGTGGGGGTGGTCCAACACAGGAGGGTTCTGAACTTCGGGGCCCAATACATCGAACAGAACCACGCCGGCTGGGTCCAGCAGCACGGAGGCTGGGTGAGTGGATCCAAAGTCTCTGTTCTGGTTCTGCACCTGCAACGGTCCAGCTGTGGATGTCTTCTGTTTGTGTCGAGTCTTATTCTGAAATGTTCTGATCCAGTTTTCCTGTCTGTCAGGAGGAAGCATTTGACTGAGCTGCAGAACCATCAGAACCATCAGAACCATTGGACCCGACCTACGATACTGTGAACTTTTTAAAACATATTTATTGTTTGTATCGTCGTTAACTTACAGGAATAAAAATAAAACCAAGAACTGGAGCTGACACTTCCTGTGGTTTTAACATGACTGTCACAATAAAAGCTGTGGTTCTGGTTCCACAGAACCAGAGTTCTGGACAAAAAACATCTTTTATGTTTCAAATCCTTTCATGCCAACCAGAGCAAGGTTTCAGGAGTTAGTCTGTGTCACCAGAACTGGACTCTGGTTTCAGGAGTTAGTCTGTGTCACCAGAACTGGACTCTGGTTTCAGGAGTTAGTCTGTGTCACCAGAACTGGACTCTGGTTTCAGGAGTTAGTCTGTGTCACCAGAACAAGGAATTTGTTTTGGATTTAGTTCTGATTTTACTCTTTACTTCCTGTTTTATTTTGGAGAACTCGTTAGTTTGAGTTCAGGTAATCTCACCTGGAGCTTCAATCCTTGGTTTATGATGTTTATCTTCTGTTGTTTGTTATTTTCACCCGTTTGAATGAGATCAAACTAAGAACCAGACCTCAGAGAACTGTTCTATTTGAGTTTATTTATTTTATTTTTTTAATTTTGATTATTTCACTTCACAACAAAAATGCTTCACATGAACAAACAGCAGCACGAAAACAAGAGAAAATAAATAATTCAGACAAAACGTTTCCATTTCAGTGGGAGGATGGACCCACAAACCTGCTCTGTGGTTCTGGTTCTGAAAGTTCAATAAAGACATCAACCCCTGATTAAAACAAATAAAATAAATAAATAAATCAGGCTGCCCAACTTTTATTTTGAAATGTAAAAAATTGAATTCGGTCCTTTCCTGTTGAAGATGGGTGTGAGTTTGAATTAAACATTTATATAATAAATATTTTATTTTATTCAGAGAAGAAGCTGCAGGCGACTCAGTGATACCTGACAGGAAGCTCAGGTGAGCAGGTAAAATAAATACTTAAAGGGACATTTCAGCCATTTGGCAGTGAAGTTCTAATTTATCTCCACTTCTGTGCTACATCAGATTAGCCTTTAGCTTGTCAGAACTAAGACCTATCTACAACAGGTAAGATAATAACAGTTCGTTATCTACAGAACACTTTAAAAGTGGTGGAATATCCCTTTAAAGGTGCATTAAGATGAGGGGGAGGAGCCATCTGCCTGTACCTGACTGATTAACAGGTGCACCTCCAACTCAAATCAGACCATAAGTAAACAGGAAGTCAGCTGATGTGCTGCCAGGATTTGGACCAATCACAGCTCACAGATCAGATGGAGTGGGCGTCGGCCTCAGATGCCCATGTAGGTGTTCATCTTCCCGAGGGCGTCGCAGACGGTGGTGAGGTCGCTGCGCAGGTCCTGCACCACGGTCTCGATGCTGCGCGTGTCCTTCAGCAGGTCCACGCTCTGCGTGTACGGGTTGTAGTACACCGAGAAGGGACGCTTGATCGTCTTCGCAAACTCCCTGTCCGAGAAAACGAACAGGAAGGGACAAACAGGAAGTGACTAACAGGAGGTGACAAACAGGAAGTGAAAAACAGGAAGGGACAAACAGGAAGTGACCAACAGGAAGTGACTAACAGGAGGTGACAAACAGGAAGTGAAAAACAGGAAGTGACCAACAGGAAGTGACTAACAGGAGGTGACAAACAGGAAGTGACTAACAGGAGGTGACAAACAGGAAGTGACTAAGAGGAAGTGACAAACAGGAAGTGACTAACAGGAGGTGACAAACAGGAAGTGATTTAACAAATGTCTCATGAAACTAATTTGAATTTAAGATTATTTTTGGCTCATTTTCTTTGTCTAAATGTGCGCTCAACACGTGCACGGAGTCGCAGAGGGCTGGGGGTCACCTCATCTTCTCCTTGGCCTCCTCGAAGCTGTCAGAGACGAAGTAAACATCCTGGAAGGTGGTGATGAGACACTCCTGGAAGCAGGTCGTCTTCGGGTCGAACGTCTTCACGCAGGCTTTATCTGACAGGGCGTGCTGGGAAGACATCCATCAGGCCATCAATCTGATGGTGTGTGTGTGTGTGTGTGTGTGTGTGTGTGTGTGTGTGTGTGTGTGTGTGTGTGTGTGTGTGT